ATATATTGTGAATTAATAACATGTGTGATTGAGAGAAAATTCAAAAATCAATATAAAAAATCATAATTATATTTATACACAATTAAATCATTAATAGTTATTTTTTTAAATTTACTGTGAATTAATAACATGTATAATTGAGAGAAAAGGATGGAAGGCACAACATATAAACGTTGCAATTACATAAACATTAGTTTGTCACTTTTGCATCTACACTCAAATTGTTCACCCCTAACAAGATATTGTTAAAATTGAAAAATAAAGTTTGGGAGGACTATGACAAAATTCAAAACAATGCAGATCAAAATGATTGGCTAACTACCTCGTTAAAAATCGTATCAAACAAAATTATATGGGGATAAAATTTTGATGAAGAAAAAACGTGCAGTTTGAATACAAAAAATAATCATGCTTAAATCTAAATTCGGGAGGATCAAGCCTATTGCGATTGTAAACTTCAAAAACATTATTACGAGCATACTCTCACCACGTGAAACTAGAGCCATTAAGACCAACAGAGGCGGTCTTGTCATCACACTGCAGAATTTAGAACTACAACATTGAGAATTTGTAAACTAATATGGATAAAAAAAGTATTAAAAAATTTGAAGAAACAATGCGAGATTTTTTTTTATTAATAACCAATTATTAAAATAATATTTCGTAAATAATCGCGTTTCAGAAAAAAATACGCAAATAATCATGTTTTAGATGACTCCCTAAAGGAGGAGCCATCTGAAATGGCGCATGCACCTATATTTTAAGGGGAGGCGCCATCTCACTTGGCGCCTATGTGCTTAGGGCATGCCCTAAGTCAAGTGAGATGGCGCCTAGGTGTATTTTTAGGGCAAAAATTGATTTTTTTTTGGTCTGGTGCGTTGCATGTTGGACAGAGGATCAACAAAATGGATTTTTTATTAAAAAAATAATAATTACATCCAATTGTATTACATTAAAATAACAGATAAAAAAACAGATTAAAAAAATGGATAAAAAAATACAGGAAAAAAAAAACAGATAAATCAGTGATCCCCCGGAACCCGATAATGACCCCCAGTTTCGCATCCCCGTCCTCGCCTTTTTCGTGCTGGGTGTCGTCGCGTTTCCTGCTGCGGCAAGGTCGATGGCCCAACGATGTCAATGCGGTCCGGATCCATAAAATCAGTCAGATCTCCATATCTAGAAGATCCGCTTTGGTACAGTCGGTTACCCATACCCTCAAAGTTTGGTCGTGTTGGCGGTGGGTGGGGTTCCATAGTGGGTCTGTAACATTGATCGTCTGAGTACGGTGGGTAGAAAGGAAATGGATCTTGGGGTGTTTGGTATTGAGGATGTTGGGTGGTTTGGTGACATTGTGGTTGATGGTAGGTTGGGTCGGTTTGTTCGTAATCTTCCGACATTCCCATATCAGGGCTAAGGCTGGATGTTGAGGGGCCCATATTGGGATATACGGAAGACTGAAATTGTGTGTGGGGTATGCGGGTGTGCTGGTATTGGGATTGGTATTGTGGTTGAGTGTGAGGCATATCAGGGTATTGGTAGTGTGGTGGTGATTGTGGTTGGTTGTGTGGCATTTGAGTGTAGTTTTATTATGGTGAGGACTGTGGTTGGGTGTTTGTGGGTCTGTTTCTTCTTGGGGGTTGGTGGGAGGTTGATGGGTTTTGGGTTTGTTGTTGGGGAACCGAGGGTTGTGCCCATTGTGTGCGTGGGTCAACCAAGTACCTTGGATGAGATACGTGCATTTCAGGGTTACTAACCGACCTGTACCAAGACAAATATTGATCCGAGTGTCGCATATTACCTTGAATTAGGAAAACTGAGAATTGCAAGACATAGCGGTGACGCCTCTGCCATATCTTACACCACTCTGGAGCGAAGTCTTTCCAGTTGGTAAGACCCCACTGGGCGTCGACCCTTTTAAGATACCATGGGGACAAACAAGTTGGATCACTTGGTATCTCTTGATGCATTCCGAACTGCATCTTCACACGGTCGCTGTGGTGCATCTTCACAATGTTGAACCGAATGATTGCAGTCTTCGCGGTCCAAGTTGCTGCATCCTCCGGGTTTGGATCATGGCCCAAACCCAAATATGGTCTCCAGACGAACTGCGATAAAATTTAAATCAGGTTAACACAAAAGTAATGTATAAATAATTTAATTGAGCAAAAGTTAAAAGCTATAACGTACGTCATTCGGGCCTAAGTGATCCAACAGATTGCGGTAGAGTGCGACATTGAATCTTGGATTCTTTCCGTAATCCATACCCCTCACGCAGTACCTAAAGGAAATGAGAAACATTTTATTCTTAGCATATATTTGGTGAAGAGATGAATAGTTATAAATGCTATAACTTGATGACTTACTTTGTTGCGTACGGGAAACCGAAAGTGTTGTTGTTGACGGGGTTTAAGGACTCCATCCTCCACCAACCCCAGGCTTGTAGTAAAAAAGCACACCCATAAAATGTACATTTTTCCTTGACTGCGTCTGAATACAGGGTCATTTTACCTTCTCAATGGTGCGATTGTGGCAGGTTTCAAGCATTTCGTATGCCTTGCTCTCATGTCATTGCCGCTTGTGCTCATACCCATCAAGACGCGCTTCAACTTCTGTCAAACGTTTACAAATCTGAAACGTTGCTCAATGTTTACAACAACAATTTTCCTTTGGTAGCAAAACCAGATTATTGGCCTGAATACGACGGCGAAATAGTGTGGCACAATGACCAAATGCGAAGGAACAAGAAGGGTCGTCCCAAAAGTAAGCGCATCACAACAGAAATGGACGATCTTGACAGGTTGGAAAGAAAGTGTGGTTTATGTCGTCAGGTCGGACACAATCGCAAAAACTGTCCGAATCGGGCGTCTGGCTCGACCACATAAATATTGTAATACATAAAATCTTTTCATAATTGTGTTGTAAACATTTGGGTTTTCCGTTAACAGATTTTGCTACGATTAATAAAACGCGTACAACAATAATTAACGATATTCCATCTAGGAAATTACAACTGTTAACACAATTTCATCGGACCCATGCATCATCAACATTACATCACTGCTTGTTTTGACTTCCTCCAACCACACATTAGGTCTTCCTGTCGCATGTGAGGTTGTGCCAGAATTTCATTTTCATCGCAGGTTTCGTGGCAGAGAAGATAACATAACCATCTCTGCTAAAAATCATAGGCGACGTCATGACGCAAATAACAGAGTACAAAATAAAAATACAGTGCGAGAAAGTGTGAGAAATTTCGGAGAAACGGACGAATTATTTATAAAACAGCATTTTGCCCTAGTTTTGTCCTAGGAGCCAAGTGAGATGGCGTCTCCTCTCACTTTTAAGGAGCATGCGCCATCTCACTTGGCTAAAAGCCAAGGGAGGCGCCAAGTGAGATGGCGCCTAGGACAAAACCCTAGGTGGAGGCACCAAGTGAGATGGCTCCTCCTTTGAGGAATCATCTGAAAAATGGTTATTTGCGTAATTTTTTCCAAAACTCGATTATTTGCGAAATATTATTTTAATACATGGTTATTAATAAAAAAAATTCACAATGCGAAGGTCATATAAATTTTTTTTATAACTATTATATAATATTGCATATAATCCGATTCAGTGTGACACGTCAAACACTTTGAAATTGATCAATATTTCATCCAAAAAATTGGATAGTAGGTTGAGAACTACCGTTTAAATATCTTATAGACATCAGTTTACAATCGTGTCAACAAAAAGTTTTTCAATATAACGATTTAACAATTTATTCAAAAAGCTTGGAATGATTATTATCTATTCACTAGAGTATTGTAAATATTATATCGTAAATAACAACATTTATATTTACTTTATTTTATTGGTACGAAGCTCATTTAATAAGTCAGTTAGGTTTAAATTTATCTTTATTTAATTTAGTTTGTTCTTCTATTGTAAATTACAACTTTAAAGTATATGAAAATATTTTTTCACAAAATCTGAGTAGTTTTTTTTTTTGTTGTAGCAAATTAGGAGAAATTAACTTGTCACTCTTCATATTATACACATGACCTCTTCAAAGAGCATGAAAATATCAAATTGTTCAGATTTAAATCATTTATTACAGATTTTAAATTTACGTAGACAATTGGATTTTTCAAATTTTTGAGCGATATCGAAAATTTCGAAGGCGATACCGAAAATTTTGCGAATAAGTGAGAATTTACGGTATTTTTGTGAAATTTCCGGTACTTTGTATCGGAAATTTTAAAATATCTAGTATTTTGGTATCGGAAATTTCGAAATATCCATTATTTATTTTCATTTATCATTTATACTGAAAATTTTGAAATTTTCGATGCATCACATAGTACCGGAAATTTTGAAATACACTATCGGAAATAGTAATTTCCGATACATCGGAAATTATAAATATACTACCAAAAATTTACGGTAACGGAAATTTCGTAGAGGTGTATCACAAATTTGGGTGGTACTGGAAATTTCGATCTTTCTATCAGAAATTTCGTTCGGAAATTGTGTTCAACTCAACCAAAAATAAAAGTGGAACAAAAAAAATTGAGGGTGACATGTTAAATTCTCACGAACTAGAGGTTAAAATCGTTGGTCCATGGCAAAAGTTTTAAGAACTTAGGGTTGAGATTCTATAATTTGACCGATCAAATTGTTTTCGAATCATCCCGTGAAAAGAATTAGAATTAGAATTTATAGTATCCTCTCTCTTGAGAAATCAGCCGACTTCCACATTGTTAATAACTTGTCACACAAGTCATCCACCTTTAATGTTGTCGAACTCTTGGGCCAAATAATTCTACTATAAAGATTATGTGTTCATAGCATTTTGTTAGCTAGAACAAAATTCCTAAGCAAGCAAAGTATCATATTCCAAAATGTATAACACAAGGCAAGTATTCAAATTTCAAACACAAATAATAACAACGGCAAAACTCAATCATTATGACTTATATACAAACAAATACTATCACTAAGAAAATCATCCATGAATGGAAGTCCCAACAAAGCCTTCTTCTTGTATCTCCAAGTGGCAATGCTCTTCAACTAAAAGCAAAATTGTTCAAAACTTCAATCCTATATGCCAAGCTGTCCAAAAACTAACTCTCAAAGGAAAGTTTGTGATCACCTTGAATCAAAAGAAATCAATACCTGGAAAATTCATTTCTGTTCAGATTTATAGCGGCACAGAAGTCGATCCTAGTAAGTAAATTTCACACACTAACACTGTCAATGTTCTTTTCATTGAAAATATAATCTAGTCTTTTCTTTTCGGTTCTAAACTTTGTATTTCATTGAGCAGATACCGGTAAAGGATGGTTGAGTGAAAAAGCATATTTTAAAGAATGTGGTAGCAAGAAACATCACCATGATGAAGTTGATGATACACAAATCAAGATTAAGACATATAAGATTAAGCTACATGTTGATGCGAATTTTGGAATTCCGAGAGCTTTTGTGATTCAAAACAAAAACAGCAAGAAATTCTATCTTCTTTCTGCATCTATTGAAACTTGTACCAATAGAATCATTCACTTTGATTGCAATTCTTGGATTTATCCAATCAAGAAGACTAAATTCGATAGACTTTTTTTCTCAAATAGAGTAAGTTCCGTCGTATATAACAAATTTACATGCTTGATTTATAGGCTAATTTTGCGCGGTTACATTCATGAAATCAGAAATTTGTGAAATCATGACAGTGCTATGTTCCGAGTCAAACACCTAGAGCTTTGTTGGAACTAAGAAATGAAGAGCTTGATCAATTGAGAGGTGATGGAATGGGAGAAAGAAAAGAATGGGATAGAATCTATGACTATGACTACTACAACGTTCTCGGCGATCCTGATAAAGGTTCGGAGCATTTTAGACCTGTCTTGGGAGGTTCGAGGTTATATCCATATCCACGTCGAGTTAGAACAGGTCGAAAAAGTAGTTCAACAAATTTTGACATATATGTTCCTTCAGATGAGATGTTTACCCCTAACAAATTGAAGGAGCTCAAGTCAAATTCTATCCAAGCCATAGTACAATTACTACCTTCAAAGACGGAATCGTTACATCAACAAAGTTCGAGAAACGTTGAATCATTTGAAGAGATACTTAACATGCTCTCTAGCAATAGAAACCAAACAATAGAGGGATGGATCAGAGACAACTTAAAGAAATTGGTGCCAAATGAGGACTTAAAGGAAATAACTCATGCAATCAAGGAAAACCAGATGCATGTTCCTATCCCTCAAAACATACATGGTAAAAGAGCTTAATTTGATTTGCATGTAGATATTTTGGTTAATTAGTTTCACATAGATTAATTATGCAAAATAATATATGACATTTTATGAGTTATCATATGCATTTCAGAAAATGAATGGGCTTGGAGTGATGACATGGAATTTGGACGACAAATGCTTGCAGGAACACACCCTGTCAGAATCCAGTGCTTGATGGTAATTCGTACACTCAAGCATTGGATTCTATGCGGTCATAAAATCTATATTTGTGCAACCGCAAAGTTATTTAAACTCACAATATTGGCCTAATCATCATCGATTTCTATCTGCTTTTCAGACATATCCACCTCAAAACAAATATGGAGTACAAAGTTCAATAAAACAATCAACCATAGAACAGATGCTTGAAGGATGGACACTTCCTCAGGTAAGTAACAACAATATAGAACCCTTGTATTTCTAGTTATGTACCCTAACCTAGGATGACGAACTTATTTGTTTTTTTTGCTCTTTCACCACAAAATTGTGTTAGGCTTTGGAACAAGGAAGAATATTCATGTTGGATCACCATGACTATCTCATGCCATATTTGAACAGAATAAATGCAAATGGGGTATGTGCTTATGCATCAAGGACACTTCTTTTTTTAAGGAGTGATGGCATGCTTAAGCCACTGACCATAGAACTCAGCTTACCAGGCTCTTCTCTAGCTCTTGAAATCCATAGAATTTTTCTTCCATCAAAGCAAGGGACACAAGCAGCACTCTGGCAACTTGCCAAAGCTCATGTTTTAGCTAATGATACTTTTTACCATCTACTAGTTAGCCATTGGTGAGTTAAAACCTTTATTATTCAAACTCATCTACTACAAGTTATTTGTGTCATTTAATTTTTCTGCAATGAAAAGTTTTTCAGGTTATACACACATGCAGTTGTTGAACCATTTATCCTTGCTACCAAAAGAAGGCTAAGTGTAATGCATCCAATCCATAAGATATTGAACCCTCATTTCAAAGACACCATGCACATAAATGCCTTGACTAGACATACCCTTATCAACTCTGGAGGAATTCTTGAGAAAATATTATTTCCCGGCGAAACCTGTATGCAAATAACATGTGATCACTATAAAGATTGGAAATTTATCGAACAAGGACTTCCTTCTGATCTTCTCAAAAGGTACGTTGAAACTATTATAGCTAGTGGATCGTGATACCACTAACGTGTATCGTAAGATTCTAATAATAGATTATCGATTTTGTAGGGGCATGGCTGTAGAAAGCCTAGATGAGAACAACCCAAATGGGATTCAACTTCTCATGTTGGACTATCCCTATGCCATTGATGGACTTGAAATATGGGCTGCCATAAAATCATGGGTCAATGACTTCTGCTCATTCTTCTACAAAGACAATGACTCCATCGTAGCTGATGTAGAACTCCAAGCATGGTGGTCAGAGATTCGATCTATTGGCCACGGCGACAAGCACAACGACACATGGTGGTACCAAATGACAACACTCTCAAATCTTGTAGAAGCAATAACAACTCTCATATGGATTGCTTCGGCACGCCATGCAGTTATAAACCACCAAAAACATTCTCATAATGATAATTCTCCCACACTATGCAGGAAATTTGTCCCAGTAGAAGGAACGGTTGAATTTGGTGAGTTCCTTAAGGATCCTGATAAGTTCTTCATGAAGATGTTACCTGATAGGTTTGAGACGAGCCTTGGTTTGGCATTGGTAGATTTGCTCTCAAAAAATGCTTACGATGAAATGTACTTGTTGAGATGTCAACCATCACATGGTTGGATAGATAATGAAATCGTTCAGAATAGATTTGCTGAGTTCAAAGAAGAACTTAAGGAGATTCAAATAAGGATCTTGCAAAGAAATAAAGATCCTAAGCTCAAGAATAGGCGCGTCCCTGCAAAAATTGATCATAACATTTTGTATCCCAAGATGCCTAGTTCTGGATCAAGAAGATGGAATCATGGGAAGAGGAGTGTCTTATAACATATTAAGTTAACTTGTTTATAGAATGTGTTCACTCACTCTGTTTTCCTTTTGTAATACATAATCTTTCACACTCACTTTTTTTCTTAACCCCATCTCATCTCGTTGAGAAATATAAACAAGAGTTCGGCCAAAAAAATAAGTAAATTTTAACCATAAATTGTTTGAGCCAATATTTGAATTTGAGTTCTCGTAGAACAAGTTGGGCTTATATTAATGTAACCGCCATAGCCTCACTTCAAGCATAAAATAATTGAAAAGTATGTAAATCTAGTAATAACTTAGAGAGGTACACATAACATATAAAAATATAACATCATGTATAAACCCACAAATCATATAATTCATAGAAAATCCATAGCAGCATTACTATCTCTTTCTCATATTGGCAATCCAGCAAGAAACCGTTTGTAAAATTCCAGTGCTTCTTGTGGCTTGTATTCTGGAACAGTATGCCCAGCTCCCTTTATGGTCAGAAAAGTAAGATTGTTGTCATATCCTTGAGTGAAGCTGCAGCAATGAATAAAAGATACTAAGTAACTCAATTTATAATCAAAATTGTCATGTCCTCAAGTTTGAGGCATTTGATGACATATTGCAATCCTTTCATTTTAAGATTCATTAAATAGGATGATAATATAAGATGGAAATGGTGGTAAATACCCGACAACTTGACCATTGGATAACCAAGGCCTCCATTCATCAACAATCTTGTATCCGATTGATCTCGTCCATGCTTGACTCCCCGTAAATGGAACACACATGTCATGATCACCACTGCAAGAAACATGAATCTTTTAATGTTTATATTGATTACAAAAGAAGACGCCTTCGCTAAAGCAATCATCAAGGAAATATAATTGTATCAAAATACTGTAATGTTTGAAATTCACCTGAATATAAGAGCTCGGTATCCTTTGGAAGTTAGGTTCTTGTGGTACTTAATCATGCTTCCAGTGTCATGATCGTAGGAAATTTTGTCTGTGCATAAATCCCAACTACTGACCACACTTTTCTGTTTCATCAAATATATCATAATTTAGTGCTTTTACATCAAAAATATATGTACCATACAAGAAACCTCACCTCTGCAGTGTGAATTGCCTTCCTGACTTCTTCATTGTTCAACCATGCGTCTGCAACGGTGCCATCCTAAAGATATTGTTAGATCTTGTTACTAGCCAAACAATGAAAAGGTAATACAGAAATACCAGCTATAAAATTGGTCATGATCATATCTTACTTGTAAAAACCCGGCAGTATTTTATCAAAATAATTATGATACAATAAAACAAAATGAAGAAAAATCAGATACCCTCTGTTGGAACAAAGAGTTTTCAAAAAAGATGATTTATGAAAAAGAAGAAGAAGAAGAGAGGGAGAATTGAGAGTTTTTTATTTTGATTGCTTTCTCACTTTTTCATCTTGTTAATTACAAACTCAGCAGTCCTTTATATAGGCAAACAATATTCAGGCTCAATTAAACCAAAATGCTAAAGTCCAAAATATGATTTCGACAGACTGCAATATCTGTTGTATTCGACTCTGTTGAATATAGCTTATAACCTATACAAAAGTTATTCGACTTACACCACACAAGCATTTCGACAGAACAAGAATTATACATCTAACACACCCTCTAATTCATGTTCTCGAGACTTCTCATCCCGATGCTTTTCTTTAACTCGTCGAATCTGACTTTCTTTAGGGCTTTGGTAAATATGTCGGCTAGTTGCACTTCTGTCTTGCAATGTTTCATCTCAAGCTTCCCTTTGTTGACTTGATCCCTCAGAAAATGATATCTTCTTTCTATGTGCTTACTTCGACCATGACACACTGGGTGATTCGCCAGGTTTATAGCTGACTTGTTGTCGACAAACAACTTCATCTTCTTAGGTTCCATTATCCTGAATTCTTCAAGTAGCATTTCGATCCATGCTGCTTGGCATGCAGCATATGATGCAGCCACATATTCTGCTTCGCATGATGACAAAGCCACAATGCTTTGCTTCCTCGAACTCCAAGAGATTGGAGCACCTTCAATCATGAAAATGTAACCTGCAGTACTTTTCTTTTCGTCTTGATCTCCACTGAAATCAGAGTCAGTGTATCCATGAACTTTGACATTTGCGTTGTTCTTTGACTTCTTTGATAACATCACACCATGATCAATAGTTCCTTTTATGTATCTCAACACCCTCTTTACTGCGATGAGATGACATTCTTGTAGTTTCTCCATAAATCTACTCAACAATCTTACACTTTGGCAGATATCTGGTATAGTATTGCAAATATATCTCAAGGATCTAATGATTTATTTGTAAAGGGTCGAACTTACAAACTCATCGTCCGTTTCCTTTTTCAACTTTGATCCAGTTTCTAACGGAGTGTAAACTTCATTACAATTGCTCATTTTAAACCTCTTCAAAATATCTTGAGCATACTTCGTTTGATGCAAGAATACTCCTTCTTCAGTGTCTTTGAATTCCATCCTTAGGAAATATGAGAGATTCCCTAAGTCGGAAATTTCGAATTCCTACATTAATTTCGACTTTACCTTCATTATCTCAGCTTCGTCTGCTCCCGTAATGAGTAAGTCACCAACATAGAGGCATAAAATGATTTGACTGACACTGTTGATATCATTTACATACACTCCATGTTCAGAGACACACTTTGTAAAACTTGCTTCGATCAGGAAGCTATCTATCCTCTTAATCCAAGCTCTAGTAGCTTGTTTCAAACCATAGAGAGTCTTCCTTAATCTATATACTTTCGAATCTTTCCCTTTGACGTCGAATCCTAGTGGTTGAGTAACGTAGACTTCTTCTTCCAATGGACCATTCAAAAATGCTGACTTTACATCTAATTGATGCATTTTCCATCCTCTATATGCTGTTGTCGAAACAACAATTCTGATTGTTTCTAACCTTGCAACAGGCGCATATACTTCGTCGAAGTCAATACCAGGTTTTTGTAGAAAACCTCTGGCCACCAATCTTGCTTTATACTTCGCAATCTCACCATTTGGCCTTCGTTTCACCTTGTAAATCCAGTTTACATCAATTGGTTTCTTGTTAGTTCTTTCGACAAGCTCCCAGGTCTTGTTCTTCTCAATAGCTCTAAGTTCTTCTTTCATGGCTTCACACCAATTCGAATTTCTCAAGGCTTCGCCCAAGTCAATTGGTTCTGCTTCATCCATCATCATGGCTTTTTCGATTAAGTCACCATATGCATCGACTGCTTGATCTGGAAACCTTTCATATCCAGTTAGCCTAGTCGACTCAATTCTTGTTCTTATCGACCTTCTTTCATTCTGCACAGGTGGTTCTTCATTTTGACTGGTTGAAGTATCACCTTGTTTATTTTGACTTGTCGAAACTTAGTTCTGTTCATCTTCGTCGAACATAGTTGTGACTGTGTCTGATTCTTGTCGAACTGAACTGTGACTCCAGTCCCACCTTTTGCTTTCGACTACAAGAGCATCTCGACTAATCACTAGTTTATCTTAGTTTGGCAAATACAACTTGTATGCACCAGTCGAATGATAACCTATGAGCACCATGACTTCACTTCGATCATCCAGCTTCTTTCTCAATTGTTCAGGTACATGTCTGAAGCACATTGATCCAAAAACTATAAGATGAATCACATTTGGCTTCGACCCTGTCCATGCCTCATGCGGTGTCTTTTCGACCATCTTCTTCGTTGGACATATATTTAGAATATATACTGTTGTCGAAGTTGCTTCAGCCCAAAATCTCTTAGGCATATATTTAGCTTTCAACATACTTCTCGTCATGTTCAGTATACTTCTATTCTTTCTCTCAGCTATGCCATTACGCTGAGGCGTATAGGGTGCAATAACCTCATGATCTATACCTTCCTTATTGCAAAATATAGCAAATTCAGCAGAAGTATATTCACCACCACCACCAGTTCTTAACTTCTTCAATTTGCAGCCACTTTGTTTCTCAGCATACAACTTGAACTTATTGAATTGTGTGAATACCTCACTCTTCCTTTCAATAAGGTAAATCCATATATGTCTGGTGATTTCATCAATGAAAGTAAGGAAATACCTGTTACTTCCATTTGACTTTACTTCAAAAGGTCCACACACATCAGAATGAACCAGCTCTAGTTTTTGCTTTGATTTTACAGGCAAGTCATGTTTGAACGCCATCCTTGCCTGTTTTTCTTTGCAGCATTCCTCGCATACCTGCTTTGGTTCCTTTACTTACGGCAACCCAAACACCATTCTTTTCTGATTGAGCATGCATAAACTTTTGAAGTTTAGATGTCCATACCTGTGATGCCATAGCCAACTTTTGTCTTCTCCTGTAGTTGAAGCAAGACATTTGTGATCTAATATGTTGAGTTCAACTTTGAACGTTTTGTTCTCCGCCAATGGTGCTTTCATTATTAGTCTCCCATCAGCCCTATATACCTTCTTCTGATTTTTCTCCAGCTTCACATTGAAGCCTTTTGCAAGTAATTGACCTACACTTATCAAGTTACTTGTCATAGAAGGTGGTACATATAGTACTTCAGTGATAGTAGCTTTTCGACCATCCTTTCTGATAATCGAAATATCTCTTTTACCACCTGATTTGATGTGCCTGCCATCTGAAAACTTTATGACCTTTTCGATTGACTCATCTAACTTGGTAAACCAGTTTTTATTGTCAGTCATGTGGTTGTTGCATCCTGAATCTAGATACCACATGTTGTTTTTCTGTGTTCGACTGAGTGTTCACCATCAACAACACATCATCTGAATCACTATCTACAACTCGTGTATATTGAGCTGCATCACTATCTTACGCCCTCGCAACTTTCTTTCTTCGACAGTCTCTAGCATAGTGACCAAAACCTTGACAATTGTAACATTGCACCTCTGTCGTGTCAACTTTCTTCCCAGAATACTTGTTGCCCACACCTTTCTTGATCGAATCAGTATTCTTGCTTGACTTCTCATCACTAGCAAGATTCTTTCG